TATTTGAGTTTAGTAGTTTTTTTCAGTGTAGTAATCATTTTTTGATACAATTCAAATTATGTCTAATGCAGAAAGGTATTATCTTAGAAATTCTAATTCTATATCTTTTATATATACTTACTCCTTCATACAAATTTGTTCTTCGCGGTATGTGCAATGCTGTTTCACTGTATGCCGCGTCAAAGCAGAAATAATATATAATTTATTCTACAAGTTTACGTCGAGATAAACAAATTTCTTCACACTTCCACATACACGATCGACGCAAAACGGACCTGCAAAATGTGCCGAAAACTGCGGTTATGGTTCGTTATTCAATAACTATGTAGCCATGTAACTTGTTTTCACTGCGGCACCATATATAGGATAGATTTAAATTGAATTATGTGGCCGTTTATTGATTAACAAACCAAAACCGTAGTAGTCGGCAAATGTTACAAGTTCGCTTTATCAATCGCAACTGTTGTCATGTGCGCGGAAACTCATTTATTTTCGCGTATAGAGCAACGATGCATAAATAAATTGCGTATTATACTCACTTTGACGTCATACTGACAACCTTAAAATTAAACGATACAATTTACTTTTATTCTCGAACAATTCTTGAGCAAAAAGAAAAATTATTAACATTTTTACATTTACAGTAATGTAAAAAAATTTTTTTTCATATTTTTACTGCAGAGCAGTATATGAGGCTATATTATTTTTTATTTTTATTATGCAGTCTCAGAGGTTTCAAGATGATAACCATTAAGAAATATCTGATTATGTCTTCATACAAGATAGAAATTTACATCGCATCGTTTAACCTTTATAAGATCGAAGGGTGAAGTAATAACACATTCAGCTCGCGTCGGCGATCTAACCTATCGGCTTGTTATTTTTTTTTAATGAACGAACGATACCTGTCAACATCGCGTATATACGGTGCGTATCAAGAAATGTTTATTTTAAAAACTAGTGTCTATTTTTTTAAAGTTTAACGGTATTATTTATACATTAATATAAGACACGTTAATAAATGAACATTTAATTAAAATTAAATTATTTTATTAAAATATCTTTTATTATTTATCTATCATTTAAAATTAAATTAAATAATAATTATTCGATTTTTTTACATAACGTAATGTGAATATTTATATATCAACTTGAAAATTCTGCTTGATTTTAAATGATTTAGAATCTCACTTTTCTAAATTTTATTTTTACAAATAAGAATTACAAAATTTTATTATCCTCTACACGCATACATGTACACGCGTGTGCGTTGCAAGTTATAAATAATATTTATATAATTCTAAGTCTTATAATGACTATTAAATAGTTTATTATGAAAATTATAGAGATATTTATACCTTATTTCAAGAGATATTTTTTTTCATTATTTTTTTAAAATCATTTTTTAAATTATCTGAAAACTTGCATGGAAAGTGAAATCGATTATCGTTTTTAGATATTTCCATAAATAACTGTCGCTTCTGATTTTGCACATTTGTCTGATTATAGTCGATTACTTCCACGTGCACGCTAATAGCGAGTGCAAACTTTATGCAAAATCACGCGTTCCGCTGTCTGTAACTCCGAAGCGAGACGACCGAATTCGCTTGTGTAATGTGCATTATTATGTGACGAGAGAATTTTTAATTTATATTTGCGCAACGATATTCACGGTTTTACGACTCGCCAAGCGTTTATAAAATTTACCCTACACTGGGAAGAAGAGAAGAGAGAGAGAGAGAGAGAGAGAAAGAGAGCAAGCGTATCCACGGCAGCTGACGTCATGTTCAGCGAACCGTTAGTTAACCAGTGAACTATACTAATATTGGAATGCGCTCCGAGCCTGTCAAGTCGTTGAGGAAGCATGTATTTGTGTATGTGTGTGGATATACAACAGTGGCCGGTGTATCTCTTTCGCATCCCTCTTGGTTACATCGCCATCCACCTACAACGTTATAGAGGAACGATAAACTTACTTGTTTTCCGACAACTTTTATCTATATCCTCTTCTGAGAGATATACGGATCCGCAGGGAGATGTTCATGGATTTATTTCGCGAAACTTAATAATAGGTGGCAGACGGTGCCAGCAATACTGATGCAAAATCAGGGATTTACGTCGATTGTGTTGTAAATAAATGAAGCGTTAATGGTAACAGTTAAATAGTAAATAACAGTCATGAGAAAGAGAGAGAAAGAGCAACTTGCAACGTGCTTCACAAATTGGCTATCTAACTCTTAAATTAAAAACCAGATTAAATACGGGATTCTGTTAATTATTTAGCTTCTGAAGTTTATCGTTCTTCGTGATTTATCCTTTTTATATAAGAAACTCTGTGTTAACTTTTCAATTCTTGAGAATATCTTGCATAATATAGATTATTAATATGGAAATATTAATTGTTCGTCGGTCAACCGATGATCGATTCTTAAAGGAATATCGAGCAAAGTTCGCGAAAGTGTCATTTATCACTTATTATAATCACATTAAAATGTCTTTAACGTTAATAATGATTGAGGAGAAGTTTCAATATTAAAATTCGCCCTTTATTATTTACGGGAAGAGAGCCGAGGAGAAATATTTCTATACAAATCGCGAAGCGGAATGTCAATCGCTCCGCAAAAAATTCTGTTTACACAAAGCACGCGGTTGGATCGCGATTCTCTCGCTCGGTGATATATTATACATCGTGGAGATGTGTCAGTTCTCCGGAGCAATCTTTGCCATTGTTCTGGTCGACCCGCGCACGACCAACCATCATTGATGAGGCCGGCAACGATCGGGAGGCGAAGTTATTTGTCGCTCGAATATAATTACGGCAAGAAGAACGATTAATCGACGCGGTGAGATCAATTGCGTCGCGCAGATACTGTTCGACCGAAAGTTTGGCATATGGTGCAAAAAAGAACGATTTGTCAAATTCGGGTCGGTAATTTTCATTAATTAGCGCTGGGAGCTCGTTTCGTGCGAATGTGAGCATAAATGATTGACTCGATCATCTTTTGAATCAAGGCGCGTCGCGATTTTACTCTCTCCCTTTTTTCAATTTCTGCTCAATTGAGCCGAATCATTATCAATTTAGCAGTAAAGACAAAATTATCTATTCATCCAGAAATCTTTGGCAAATATATTCATCTAGATATATATGAACCTGGCATCCTGATTTTTACATTTATTTTTTAATTCGAAAAATAATAGTATTTCGTTTGAAGTTGTTTGTACAATAGTAACAATAATTTCGTTTGCAGGTTTATAAATTAAAAAATAAAAAAATAACTCACGACATTGAGATATCTCAAATCCATTTACGCAGTTTTTTAGTATCATTTGTAGTTGTTTGCAACAATTGCAATCAAAATTTATATTGATACAGACAACTACAAACGAATTTGAATCACCTGAAAAAAATAGAATTAAAAAATCTTTAAAATTGATCAAATTCACTCTTCACTATTTCTTTAAAACTTCAAATAGTTGCAATTTTTAAACCGTGTACTTAAAAACGAAAGAAAATTACTACAAACAACTACAAACGATTCTAAAAAAGATTGCGCAAACGGATTTGAGATATATCTTAATGCCGGGTGCAAGTCATTTTTTTTTCTTTATTTTTTAATTGCTAAAACTACAAACAAAATTATTGCTACAAATAACTACAAACGAAATGCTATTATTTTCTGTATTAAAAAATTAATTTTTTAAAAGTCAGGTGCCAGGTTCACATAGCTTATTTATCCATGTTGATCTATGTATTAAAAGAAATTGCTTAATTTTCAAAACACATCTCATTCTACGTATATATATAATTTTTTTTAGATGACAACTGAAAACTAAAAATAAAATATATACATATATTTTTCTAAAATGAAAAATTATATTTCCATCTATTGTATAATTTACTTTCTCAAATGTTAAATAATATATTGAAAGAATGAAATGAAAGAGTCTATATTTAGTAGATTTATGAGATGTGTTTATTGTACATTAAAAGGCAGGATACATTTAATTTTATATATGTATTATATATGTATATTCTCTCTTACATTTTCTTGTTACATAATTTTAGCAAAATATGTCGCATTCCGCTGACCTTTCGCGTAATTTGAAAATAAATAACGCGTGTTAAAAGTCGCGTGATTTTATAGTATGATCCGTGCCGGTATTCAGCGGAAAATATTGTCTCACGTTACGCGAGTGTTTTAATCGGAAGAGTGACTCCGACATTCATTGAATTAAAAAAATAAAGTTAAAATATCGCGTAACGCGTAATATATATTCACGCGGTACGAGAAAACCACTGAAGATATATTATATATTCAATTACGGTTTTTATTTTTATTTCTTACATTTATTGAACGGTGATAATCAATGAATATTGCACGTGTAAAAAATCGCGCTTATAAAAATCTTTAAGATGCTCGATTTTGGGATATAAAAAGGGCCTTGAAGGTTCTCTCGCCTTAAAATGACGTGTGCCGTAAACTTTTTACGAACTTGCTTCTAAAAATGCCAGTAAGGCGGGACTATATATTACTTTTGAAATACGAGCTATGCTTCTCAATTTTAACGTATCGATTCGCGTATCAATATTCAATAGCAAACGCAAACAACTGAATGTAGATATGAATACATTTGTATATATGCAATACGGATATTTTATGTATACCACTTTTAAATATTTATATATGCGTCAAGAAATTTCTTATTCTCAATTCTTGTAACAAATATTAAGCAATTTTAAATGATATATTTTGATTTGTTTATAACTTAAAAAATATTATATTTTCTTTTTAATAAGAATAATGTAACATTTAATTACGAGTTTAATTAGGGAAATTAAAACAAATTTAATCAAAATGGATCGATGGTATAAATAGATAATTTTTTTGCTGATATTAATTCGCGAGACATAATTGTGAAGATATCTATTGTTGAAAATTATAAGCAATATCCTTTTTTTACGATAAATGTATGAACAGAAGGAAGAATAGTAGACTTACCTATGATAGTGATGAGAATCAGGAGACAGAGCACGATTGCTGTTAAAATGATTGGTGCATCGATGAAGATTGGATTTTCTACGGTTGCGTTCGCGGCTTGATCGACGTGATCCTCCATCGTGACTAAAGTATATTTCTCGTTTCTCTTCAGTGTTCGCTATTCATCATCTGATTAAATAATATATCATGGTCCGCTCTCGTTAGAGCGAACCCGAAGCTTTTGTGCTTCGCTTTCGACAAACGCGAAGTCAACACCTGGACGATAAACGTCGGTTATCCCTCTCGTACACTTTCATCTCTATCTCAGAATTTTTCGCAGTCCCCGTTTTCCATAATTTTCTGTTCCGTGATTCCATGAACTTTGAGGTGTAAGTTTTTCGTGAAATTTTAATCCTTTCGTATATTCTGGAATAAGAAAGCGGAAAAAGATCATTTTTATAGGCCGTTTTATATCGAAGAAAAATATATGCTTAGTTTTTTACTAGCATATTTCTCATGGCAACCAAATGTGATGGTAAAATTTATTATACGTTTAAAAATACGAATATATACTTTTCTTAAATTATAGATATATTTTCTAAATATAATTCTTTAGATTATTTGCATACATACACACACACACACACACATATATATATATATATATATATATAGTACATCACCCGTAGTGTTATTGTAACTATGAGTTTCGTTATTAAACGTAAGTTTTGAAAAAACTATGGTACACGATCGAGCGAATATGCGGAGTGTCACGTATATGGTAGTCCGTGAAACCAGTAAAATTGGAACAATCGATCAGCAATTATCGGGATTGTAACGGCCAACTACCGCAATCGACTTTAATAATAAATCCGCAACGTTGCGCGAAAAATAAATGCGTTTACAGCAAATGCCAGTTGTGAAATAGCCTTAGGAGGTCACATGCACTCTATTAAATTTTCCGATAGTGTCGGAACGTTTCATTAACTTAAATTCATCGGAACCTACCTGCTATTTGGTTTAAACTGATTGAATTTTCAGAGGAATAGCATTTACGTTTGATAGCAGTGTCGATACACTGTAACGAGTCCACGGTCTTCTCTACGGTTCGTTTGCAAAATTTTATTATTTCGAAAAATAATTTTATTGAAATATAAATTTTCAGAAAAATTAGACAGGTATTACAGCTTATTCTGACCTGCTTACGACGTTTTATCATTTTTTAATGTGATATATATGAAATACTTGAATTTAAAATCATGATAATTATTAGATTATTTATATATCCATATTGTACATAAAAAAATTGAAATATTTAATATACTGCTGTTATTGCTATTTTTATATTATATTGTAGCTTTCTTTTCAAGATTAATTTTTTTCATATATGTTATATTATATTTCTCACTATATGAATTATGTTAATTATAATTTTGTATATGCGACAACGTAAAGTAATAATAAAATAAGATGATAAACTAATAGGTATAAAATATGCAAACAAATAATTAAAATACAAAGAAGATATTTTAATTTTTCTTCTTGAAAATTCTTTGAGAGAATACAAATTTTAAAATGATATTTGATAGAGAGAGAGAGAGAGAGAGATTTTAGCGCAGATCTGAAAAAAATTAAATATACATACATGCTCATGAGAATAGATATTTTTCACGCGACAATACAAAAAATTTGTCCCGTTGTGATTGTTGCCGCAATGGTAGTTTTTTTGCGCGCGCGACCGCGCAATCGTCAAGATCGAAGTTTTATTCCCACCGCATGACGTAAATCCCACGTATTCTCTGTCAGCAACCAAAAAGTGTCCCGCCCTACGGCTCTCTTTCTCATCACCATTTTTCGGTGCTCGATTTTCCGACGGGAGACCGAAAAACAACCGTTCTCCCACGACGAAGAAGTATCTCTCGAAGAAGAACCAACTTTCTAACCGTCAGTGTCGCCTGCGAAAAAACTCGGGAAGCGTGCAAAAGAGTAGCGTTTGTTCTGCGAAAACTTTAAAGGAAGACAGGGAGCGGTTACGAACGAAGAGGATAAAAGTCAATCAAGCGAATTCTCGCAAATATATATGTGGGGCTACGTTTTTAATATTTTAACTGACGGAACTCTGGCCGAGTATCGATCCATCGGCACGTAATAAGCTTCATAAATATCCATAAATATCTAAGAGTATATCTGCTATACTCTTCCAATATCAAAAAAGACATTCACTTTTTGTAACATGCCCATTTGACGTCACAATGAGTTTCTAATTTTGTTTCTAATTAAGATACATAATTTATTGCAAATTAGAGAACTTGAATTGATGAAAAAAAAAGATAAAAAATTTTTTTAGCAAAAGTAGAATATTTGATACAATGAAGAAACACATATTTGATTTTGTTATTGCTGAGAATATAATAATAGAGACAGGAAGTTTATTGGGACTCCATAGGCACGTCAGCAAAGTAATTCTCGAAATTTTGTTTTCTTGACAATTCACTTTTCAGCGGGATACAAAAATTGTCTCTTATAGCTCCTATAAAATCTTCCTTTCCTGCAATGATGCAATCACAATACTGCTAAAATGCTACTGAAATAGCCGACCGGAAAAATAATAATCGTGAATATTACAGGAAATTTGCGTGTCTCATAGGTACATCATCCTGTCTCATGATGAAATATTTTATTCATTCAGAGACGCGAGAGTTAATTCGAATTTCAATAATGGAAAACAGGCTTTTGTCTCATTGTATAATGCATTTTTTATATCCTGATAAAAAAACCTTTAAAACGCAAAAAGGAAAATACGAGAAGTGGAGTAAAAACAAGAAACTTTTCTTTCATAAAATGCAAACGCGTGCAAAATTGTTTCTAAGCTTTATTAACTCAAAAATAATTATTTAATTTGCTTAAAACTTGATAAGAGAGAGTCAATATTTAAGAAATTCAATTTTAACAGAAAGTTGTTTATATATAATTTTGGAAATATTTGTTGTATTAAATTTATTTAATTAATTTATTTTATCAATTTATTAAGATTCGAGAGAAAGTATAATAAATATTCTATTAATTTTATATTAATTTCTATTAATTTTATATTATATATATATATATATATATATATAAAATATTAATATATATTTAAATAATAACAGCGCTTGAAATAATGTTTTTCTCAATTAGATTGTGAGAAACATTGGTCGTTTCTCAAATTGATTCATTAATTGGTCACGAGTGATTTTACCGAAAACTGCAAATGGTATGAGGAAAATCTGCAAACGATGAATTACGTTTAGTCGCGCGTTACGATGGACATTGTTCGCGCAATAGATCGGAATTGCGCGAATACTCGCGGCAGTCGTTTACATGCAGGGATACCGTCGGGCCGCCAAATCTCGCCGTATTTCGGCAATTCAAAATTGAAAGTGCAGGCGCGCACATACTCGTGCAAGCGGCGGGTGTATATACATTTCACAATAGCAGATGCATTTATCACGAGCAGAAAACTGCGGCTCTCGGACTCTCGGTCGTCGCTCGAAACTCTATAAATTCCTCGCCGTTAGTGGAAAATCGTGGTGGAGCATCCCCGGCTAAAGTGGGATGGAACGCGAGGGAATCGACACGTCGGAAATCTATTTTAGGGAAAGAAAAGTCGGGCAAACTGTTACGCGATTAAATCGCGAGCTGCTAGTCGGGACTCTCGAAATTCACGATCGTTTGCCTTCGATTTAAGACGACTGAATTTTACCGATGAAGACGTCTTCGTCATGGTTCTTCTTCTTCTTCTTCTTCTCCGCCTGATCTTCTATTGGTTATTCGCAAAAAGACGCGTTAACGATAGATTGATCTCTCGTCAGAAAAGTAAAATGGTTTACGTTTTGCTTTAAAATTTATAACCATAGCCGCAGGCAAAAAGCGAGTAGTAATCTTTTTCCGAGAGTGCTTGTGACAGTTCAATTTGAAAGGTCTTAATATTGATAATCTACATGTCACTTTTAAACGTAAATTTATTTTAATAAAACAAACATTTTTTAACAAAATAAAACAGAAATCTTGGGATAAAATATATTTAGAAATATCACTTAAAATCGGTTAAATGTATCATAATTAAGGAAAATGTAATACTTGTATGATATACATTGATGATTGCATTTTGAGTATATCGTAAATATATCCGTATATATGTGTGTGTTACATTACACATTTTCTCTGCTCGGTACTTTCTTTATATTATTTTTTACTTTTTTCCACATTAGGAGATCTGTAAGTCTACCGCGAAATTCAGAAATAAAACTAGGCGCCCTTGTAAGTGGAGTGCACCTCGTATTTACGACGTCATAGCGTCGTCCATTATCTGGAGCTCCTACTGCGTTCCATTAGTCCCGTGTAACTAACTTCTTCAGCTTCCAAGGATTTCACGCTGAACCGTGCTTATAGGATCAAAAGATTAGATCCACGCGTTACGCTCATATATATATATATATATATATATATATATATATATATATATAATGCGCACGTCGGGGGAAACTTTAAACTTATTTGCAAATCTGAGAAAGTAACGAAATTTTGTTGTAACATCGCCAATCTTCGGGTACTAAAAGATATCCTCGTTTAAAACGATAAAGAAAGATGAAACAATGAAAAAATTGAAGAATGAACCAATGAGAGCAAAAGAGAGTTGAATTTTTATTAGGCAGCCGGTGGTACATAGTACGCATTCTATTTTTTCCATAATTTAAAAAATTTATCTATCCTGATGTAAAATATGCGAAAGGTATGCGACTGCATAAAATGTGAAGAGATTGAGATTTTGTAAAAAATTTTAAGGAGATGCATGCCCTTAGGTGGAATGATAATGAAAACGCAATTCGATAATGAGTGACAATTTGCAATAGCAATTTGCAGCCGTAATTTGATACAGTTTCAATATTTGGACGCGCTCGATTATAAATATATACGCAAATGGGAGAACGATCTAAAAAGGGAGATGTCGTTTCAATCAGAATCGACAGACAAGGGTAGATGCATCGCCGATGCGACTGACACTCATATGCATACAACGTTTCCCAATATTGTTAAATTTCCGCTCATTGAAACGATCGTTTATATTTGATAGCCTATACCAGCATAAGCGTTAATCTTGTTATTGTCGATCGATATTCATTCGAGACAAACCCCAATCAATTCTTTATTTATATTAATTTCTTTGCGAGATGATTATGTATGTGTATACAGGGTGTCCGGTAATAATTGTCCCACTTATCGTGTGCAGGTAGAGTTAAACCAAGTAGCAATATTCTCTACTGTTTTGCGATCTTTGTAATAATTAATGAAAAATTAATTTAAACAAATAATTAATAATTAATTTTTGCGAAGATCGTAAAACGGACTTTCTTAATTTAATTCGTTCTATCTGTACACGAGAGGCG